AACATATTATAAAAAACATATTATATAAAAAAATAGAAGTCCACCGGCTGCGGAATCCGACAACTCAAGCAACCAGTGGTCAGGGCTGTAGAGACAGGAACCTCCTCACTATTCGTGCGGTTTCTAAAATAACCGCCTTTTGAATCGGGCCCCTAATCCAACTGTCTAGCGAGAGCTTCTTGAGGTGGTATTTATAATATTATTATGATAGAAGAGTTACGCCTTACGTAAAAAAATTGCATTTTTTTAAATAAATAATAGTACATTTTTGTTAAGCTATACTAATACATATAATAAAGCGTATATGACAATATGGAATGGGAATGTAAGAACATCATCGGATGATATGAGGGTGGGGTCTTCTCTACGATTATTTTTTTAAGCGTAGACAATTTTATCTAACAAAGGAGATTTTACATTGGAGCATTTTTATGGATAAACTAGCTTTCTACCGCGACTCCGTCCGTGCAATTAAAAAACAAAAGTACAGCCTATGTGATCTTCTAGACTATTCTCTACAACTATGCCAATGTGGGAATTTTCTAGTAAAGTTCGTTTTTCCTTTTCTTTTTAATGTAGAGGGTTGGAACAATAAGTACAAATATTATATACCTCTATCTGCAGATATAAATGAATTTCCGCTTACGCACATTTTCTTCTAAAATTCTGTTCCCCTACCTGCGTTAGTCGAACACCTAAACAATTAAGAACATAGTTTATGAACTTTGCAATGACAAAGTAACGTGTAGCATCCTCTTAAGCTTCTGTAAGATAATTTTTAGCTGACATGCATTGATGTTATTTCTGTTCATAGAATACTAGTAAACAGTATTATCTGACATTTGTTCTGAGAACATCTCTGAGGAGTGCCCTACTCATTTTTCATTCGTCCCACGCTTTTATAACGTACTAGTTTTCGTCCGTGACTGTCCGCGTGGAATTAACAACAAAGTAGACTATGTTTTCTTATACCATAGGCCATAGACTATGCTTTACACCTATACCAAATTTCATCAAGTTCCGTTCACCCGTTTAGAATATAAACTCTAACAAACATCCATTCAGCCAAACTTTCGCATTTATATAAGTAAGATATAAATGTAAGTAATTATTTGCATCTTATTCTTATACCAAGAATCTTGCGCCATTGAACACTTAAAGCACTTAGCAATTTTATTTATTCAAATATAAGTCTTATTGCCTTAACATTAAAGTCTATACCAACGATGGATCTAGTCTAGATTACTCTTTGTTTCTCCATTGCTCAGGTTTTTATTATTCTATACTAATATAGCTGTTGCCCGCGACTTCATCCGCGTGAAATTTGAAAGTTCAAAACTTACGTTCGCCATTTTTTTCAACCTAGTACCTAAAGAATTAACTTAACAATCTACATAGTAACAGAAATCCACCGATTCAAGATTCTAAATTTCTAAGCCCGGTAGCTTGTAAGCTGATTTTTCGGTTACCCTTATTGTTCGCGATATCTTATCTATTGTAAATAATTTATCTTAACTAAACTATTAGTCCAATTTTTTAAATCGACCCAGTAGTTTTTGAGTTATTTCAATACATACAAAAATAGCGAAAATACAAAAATAAAATATTTCCTCTTTATAACATTAGTATCGATTACTAACAACCTATTGCACGAAACTTCGTCCACGAGGATTAAAAAAAATGTAACCTGTGCTACTCAGTGTTAATGTAGCTTTTATGGTAGAAGCATTTTCTGAATTGGCCCAGTAGTTTTTGAGTTTTTCAATACATACAAAAATACAAACCTTTCCTTTTCTTAAAATTAGCGTAGACATAGAAAATGAGAGTGTGAGATTGTACTTTTACATGTATTGAATAGACTCCAGATATACTGAACAGATTAATAAAATCTTTTGGCATTAAGCTACATTATTGAGTAACTTAGGCCATAAAACTATTTAATAAGAAATAAAATACAACTCATAATAATTAACTTTATTTATTTAACATAATGCTAACAAATCAGGCGTGGATACAATAAAAAACATTACAATATAATGAACGAGAAATACATACAATAAAAAGAAATAATTAAAATGAATTACAAAATGACATATTTAGAAAATCAATTGTTTTTATATTTGCCATATTATGCATTCTCGAATGATCATATTCTTATGAAACCGAAATCATTCGGGAACGCATAAAAATAAAACAGTTCAAATTTATTAAAAATCAATTCTAATCATATGCAAATCTTATGAAGAATTGGTTTGATCTTTTAAAACCTCATATTACGTATCTCAAAATAAGTTACTGACTAAATTAAGCACAAAGTTATACATTAAAAAGAAACAGAAAAATCCGTTATAAGAACGTTCGCCTTTGACTGAACTATCGCACAACTGTATAGTCTCGCTATGATTCCTATGAGGGGGGGCATACTACACGATGTATAATATAGTTGTGTAACTATACAGTTAAATTGTCTGCAAAACAATCGATAATCGCACAACGGTTGTGCGATAGTTTGGTCAAGGTTGCCTGTTTTAAATGTTCCAATAGTACAAAACAGTAATAATAGACGATAATTTGTTACAAACTTAATATTAAAAGGGGTTTAAATAAAAATTTAAAACAAAATAGAAAGTGGGTTTTTTTTAATTATTAGTAAATTACTAGTATTGAATATTACTACATGTACTGTTATTATAGTTAATCTATTTAGTGCGTAAGTAATCAATGAAGTGCAATGTCAATATGAAAATGTCTTACTGTAAACAGAGTACTTAAATTCCCCTTTCTTAGTCATAGTGTGGCATTAGTCTACTAATTTTAAAAATATAATAAAAAAAGTGATGTATCATGTGAAGATATTACATATAAGTACAAGTCAGCTAACCTATAATTATATAATTTGAATGCTATGCTCAATAAAGAATAAACTCTTAAATTTATAGCAAAACAATAGTATTCTTAGGCCACGTTTTAGAATTTTATACATTACAAATAGCGATATATCGTCAATAAAAAGTGTTCGTTTTCAAACAGTTTACTCTAAAAGGTTTTCAATTTTGAAAATAAGTATAGTACATCCAACTAGTAATGATACAAAATCATTAATACTAAAAACGACTGTGGAAGTGTTAATCCATTATCCATCTCTTTCTATCTTATGTATTTGTCGTAATGTCTCTTTCTCCCAACACTAATGAATCGTATTCGCCAACATTCGAGCAGCTGTTTTAAGATAATTAACAAAAGTTTGTGTTAAATGCTGTAATTATAAAGTATTTTAAAATCATTATATTTTCAATTTCATTTAGCAACTAGTAAGTTATTCTCGTTTTAATTAAAACCATATTAAAAAATAATACAATTAATAAATAATGTCATGGTATATGCCCAAAAGTTATGCACCCCTGGGTCTTTAGTATCGCTTCTCGTTGGATGTACTTTACATATATTTACGTGTTGTAAAAAAAAACCGGATCTCTCTGTCTCAAACCATTTATCTCGTTTAGTTTTATTGTAACTTGCGACCTCAGATAGTTGGTCTATGGACACTTACAACAGTCTTTCTACACAACTTTGTGATATATTATAAGCAATACTAGATGAAATAGACTAAATGTTTTTACTTTGTGATATATGTAAATATATTAGCAGTTTGAAAGAAAGTGCAGTAGTAATGAATATGTCAAAGATTGAAATGATGACATAAACAAGGAAATATTAAGATCGAATGCTTATAAAAGTGGAGTAAGACCGAATAAAGTATGGATGGATTGTGCAAGATATGCTTTTAGGGATTGAATTTAGATATGACAGAGATGCATAATGTGCTCACAACAGGATGGTAAAAAATATTCATTTTGGACGAAAATTTTAAAAACAAAATGTACATTTCTCTGAATTAAAATATATCTAAGTGACTTAGATTATATTACAAGTATAGCCCCTTTTGTGATGGCCTCCGTTTTAATACTATGTAAAAAAAAATATAATAAAAAATCAATAACTACTTTGTAAATAAAATAAGTAATCAACTAAGTGATAATGTTATTTGTATGGATCGTTTAAATGTAAAAAGTTTAGTAAAACTTCGTATTATAAACTTGTTATCGTTTGAGAGTTAATTAATTTGAAATAAGTTATATTTTCAAACTAGATTTGTAATTAATAAGTCATAGCTGCCTTTTTCAATTTTCAAATTTCAACTAACATTCTTAACTATAACATAAAGGAGATTGACCATTCAAGTATAAACTTTGGCATATTTCACATTGTATTTTAAAATGTGACTCAATTTGTAAGGTTTTAAGTGTACAACTAATAACAAAAAACCCTAATTCTCTAATTGGCCGGATTTGGGAGAAAATAGTCAAAATACCAACAAATTAGATTTTTGTATTTATATGAAATTTACGTATTTAATTTTGATACGAAAATTAACCTTTTTTTTACGTAATAAATCTTTTTAATTATGAAAATCAATAAATATCAAGTTACTAGTATGTTACTGGTACAAAACAAAAACCATATGGTCATTCTCCATAAAAAAAAACTACATTAAAGTGTCAAGTTTCTATACCGAATTATTCAGTATTAACAATTTACATTTTAAAAACCATTTAAGTTTTATTGCCATAGCATAAAAATTTACGAAGTATATTATGGGTCACTTACATCCATACAAAAACAATTTGTGTCAAAAACCAAGTTTTGATAAGATGTTTGTAAACGCCAACAAAAACGCCAACGCCAGCGTCAACGCCAACGTCAACGCCAACGCCAACGCCATTACCAGAGGACTTTGGTAAAGGATCCTGGCTGACGAAACGATATACTTATAAAACTTACAAAAAAAAAATATAACTACAATATAATCAGTCTAAAATCATTTTGTAATCTTTACATCTAGAGATTTTAAACGAGAATTTAAATTTAATTGTCAATCATTGTATATTAATAAAAATGAAACAAAAAAATGGCCAAAAAACATTAACATATAGAAACAGATGTCAATTAACAATTAAAAATGTAATTTATTTGATAGAAATAGATATATTTATTTCTACCTACAAAAACATATTTCTAGTTAAGTATAAGCTGAAGTGCGTATAGCCTGCACCATAGCCTTCAAACAATAAGCTCAAGGTTACTTTAAAGTAATCTAACATTCAAAGCACAAAAGTCTTAAATCTACAGAACCTAGAGAATAATTCCCACTAATTGAAAATATTCATAGTAGGATAAACATGAAGATTATGTAAACACTAAGATACATAAAGCTTTCAGACGCGATATAACCGTAGGTTTACACTGCCGTTATGTACAATCAGGGTATTTAACGGTGTGCGATCTTAAGTGACAGTCGCTTGTACATCAAAACCAATATGCTTTTTAATATGTACGAAAAAAGATCGCTCAGTGGTCCACTTTTAAACCAATAATTGTTATTTTATTTAACATAATTGGTTATTTTTAAGAGTCGTATTTCATTGCAAAGAACATTTAAACATTTCTGTTACACCTTTGATTTCTGCGATTGTACAAAATTATTTATTCCAGATTACTGTGAAATTCAATATTAAAGATTGTTTTTATCAGTGTAAACCGTCCGTTATATTAAAAAGTGTCCTAAATTTAAGAGAATTCAAAGTTTACCCATATAGTTTAATTTCAGTATCAACGCAGTCCTTCATCAAGTTATCTAACTCATCTAAGGAGGAACTCTCCGGGTCGTAGTTACTCATGAACTCCTCTATTTCTGACAAACAGCTGCCTTCCATTTCACGCAGGATCTTTGTTACCATTTCACCGTTCTCTTTGGAGTGATGTTTGGCGTGCAATTTGTAGAGTTCATGCTCCCTTTTTGGCTGAAATATGATGAAAACAATTTAAAAAAAAAACAAAAACGTAAAATCAATCTGTGTATACCAGAAAGAGATTCAAAGATATATAGTGGAAGCATAGTTGACACCACACTTGTGACATTTTTCACATTATCTACTAACACTATCTATTGGTCTAAATAAAAGGATTTTTGAATTTATTTTGTGACAACAAATATATTATAAATTTGTATGAAAAAAGTGGAGTTTATTATAATTTGTAAAATGTTTTATAACAAGTCAATACAAAGACATGAAGTGGCACTAATATTGACAACATAGTACCTTTAAAAGAAGTTACCAGTGAAATAATGTTGGTCACTATCTCTAAACTATATATTTCTTTAATTTCTGTGGTATATATATAAAATGTAATGTTAAATTAACCTCTTTAGGGCTCTCAGTGTGAGGCGAGACGTGAGCATTGGGCGTGAACACGAACGGCTTGAAGTAAGAGATGCTGGGATCTGGAGTCGCCGTGAACCAGTGCACACTCAGCCCGTTGGTGGACAGCACTGACACCTGCAAATATCTTATTACTTACTAATGTTATAAATGAGATAGTTTGGATGAATTTTAGTCACATATCTTCTAAACTGCTGTATGGTATGCTTGGGACAGTTGTAACAGCACTCACTGGCCATGGCCACTTCAACAAACATATACAACATAGGTGTCACAGACAGTCCATTATGCAGAGCATGTATGGTGGAGGACGAAATCGCATCACACATACAACACTGTCCAGCAGTGAATGTATACAGGGTTAGGTATCTCGGTTCGCTGAGATCGCTCCTGGAGTTCACAAGCATAAAGGATTTGCTGGGGTTCTTCAGAGAGCTAGGTTGGCTGGAGTAATCCACGTCTTGTTCCTCAGGCAAAATACGCGCTAGCCGTGGAGTTGCGGAAACTACTACTACTACTACTCACTGCTGTATGGATCTTGATAAAATTTGTAATAAATATAGAGGATAGTCTGGAACAACACAATATCGCAGCCGATAGATAGTACTCATAAATATAGCTTTCATCCGCCACTCCGTTCGTGTGAAATTAGATAGAAACAAAAGTAAGGAGCTAATGGTTCTTCTAAAATATGTAACAACATTGACAATTCCAAATTCCATTAAAATTTTATCTGTCAGATTGTCAATGGAGCTAATGAAGTAAAGTGTTTAAGATTCGATTTGATTTGACCTTTAGTAACATAACGAATCAAAATTATTTATCTATCAAAACAACGTCGTCACGATATACTGACCTGACTGCCCTGTGTAGGGAACGTGTCGTCACATCCACGACAGATGCAACTCTCCTTGTGTCGAAGCACATCGAACATCTCCTTGACGCCGAAGTTATTCGACGCCGTCCCCTCCTTCAGCAGTCTCTCCCCCTCCTTCTGTCTCTTCTCATCCCCGCCAGACGAGAAACACTTCTTAAAATCAAACTCGCCCTGCAAGTCAATAAATTAACTGATAATTTGCTATACCATTCGCAACCCTAATATTAAAACTCTAATTCAAAAATATGCAGATTTGTTTTCTAACCTTATTTCTAGTAACAAAGTGATCACTTTTTTCTTATTAATTAGTCAAAACTACTCACTTTTCCATTCCAAAAACCAGTTGCTTCGGCTTTAACAAACAATCCCCTCGAATGTTTATCAAATTTGGTCATTATTGTAAGACCGTTAGATATATTCCTATATCCAGAAGTGATCTTCTCTGCGGCCCACAGTTTGCCGCTGGTCTCCAACACCCAGGCCTCCTTGGCATCAGCGATGAGAAAAGAGTTGTGATAGAAGTGACTATCATCAAACTCCGAACATGGCCCACCTTGTCCATGTTTCTCTAGAAGAGTGGTGATTACATTCAACGCGCTCTCAGCAGTGCTGCCCCTTTCCAGTCCCAATCTGAAAATAAAAATGTCCACACTAAGACATAGACAAATTAACATATGAGCCGCGGTTCCTTCAGTTTAAATTTGGATGTAATATAAAATCTGTTCCAGACAGTAAAGTGCCAGCAAAGAAGACGAGTGGAGCGGCCCTTCCAGATCTCACGCTGCCTGGCAGTTGCACTTCGACTTCGCACAGAAATATAACCTTATTACCTTGTAACTATTGGCCATTATCAATATATCAACCAATCTTAACAAGGCTTTTTATTTAGTATAAGAGTACAGTCCATTTATTAACAAAGTCTAATCTAAGGGTTTTATATAAATTTTAATTTAAGATAGCTTTAACTGTGTCCAATTACACATTCATCTATTAGTACAATTTCCTTGAAATGGCTACAAAGCTTTCGCTTCATTTATTATCATAACAAAACATTACTGTCTGTTATGATTTGCAAAAAATATGTTAGCAAAGGCTCACTACATTGCAAGATATATCAAGGAATTATTGTAAATATTTGGTTAACAGCCGTTGTATGTGACTCCATTCGCGTGAAATTAAAAAAAAAAACAAAAGCAATTAGCCTATGTGTTCTTCCAGACCATGTTCTACATCTATGCCAAATTTCATTGTGATCCGTTCAGTAATTTAGGCTACAAACTCTACCAAACATCCATCCATCAATCCAAACTTTTGCAGTTATAATATTAGTATGATCGCAACATTTGTCAAAATTAGTAGTGTACATAATTGTTTATAAAGTTTTAATAAAAGTGTTGAAGACTAAATTCTTAAGACACAAGTATTCTCTGAGAGAGAACATCCAAGCTTATTTTTTTTGCAATCCAAAGTACATTTGCCAAATTCGCTGATGATAAAATTATAAAAATTAACCAAATAAGAAAAATGCAACTTGCAAATATGTACAATAATAACTTAATTCGCTTTGTACTGCTTGCTGATGAAACAAGTTTTATGCAAACTACATATTTTTGAATTACAGCCTTGATCATATTCTAGGTCACCCTGACTTTGCCAGCATAAAAAAACCTTGCCTAAAATATTTCCGCATATATCAGCCACCTTCCCTTTATCCCGTCAAAATCTGTGAAATCGATCCACAGCAGTCTCCAGTGATGTCAACAAGGAATAAAAAAAATTATCTATACCATGACTCCACTCATCAGCTACCTTCAAATCGAAAACCGGTAAAAACCAGCACAGCCATGCCAATGATTATACAGAACAAACAGAGACTGACAAACATTTTAAAAATCGAAATTTCGCTATTAGAAATTAAAATATATCCTGTACGCTAAATGTGCATAGCCAAAGATACCTTAAGAAAGGCAATATTGCAGCGCAAATATAAAGATTAAGTTGTTTTGTTTGTTAATATCTATAAATAATTTAATAGCTCATACATCCTGACTACAGTTATAAATAACTTGTTTAGTCTATTGCAATCACAATAACAAAGGTTGTCACATTGAAAATATTTTCATTAGATAAGCCAGCCTCATATTTATAAACATGTTACAGTTAATGTCCACTGTCTCAACACTTGTAGTGAAACATGTTTCTGTTTTTTAGATTGTAGAGTGACAAGGTTGACACTGTTCTGTACAAATGTCTCAACAATGGAAATAAACAGTATGATAACAATACTGGCCACTTATTTCGAATCATACAATGAATTCAGTTACATCTTTTCATCAGATGCAGTATTGAAGTAAAATGTATATTTCCTCACCTTACGAGATCCATCCCAAGCAGTCTCTTCTGCCGAGCGTCACCTTCACCTTCATTGTTGCTCGTCCATACAGCCTCGTTTCCAATGACTACATTCTTATCATTTGCACCCATCTCAGCACCCCACATCCACGCAGGCTTGCTCAGTATGATACTATTAATTGGCTCCGGACTCTCATCTATTGTGATGTAAGTACACTGTAAACAAAAAGAACAATATTGTCATATTTCAATATGGTACAAATGTTTTAATGTTATGTTTAACATTGGCAGTATCATTTAATGGTAATTTATTAAAACTGATATTGTACAGAAAATGATCTTTCCAGTAATATAAAAACTTATTTAGTTAAACCTCAGTAATGTAATCAGGTATTAAGCAGACCCTAAGTGTAGATTTAAGTTCCAACGCACTGCGCACGTCGCGCAGTACGCCGGAACTTAAAGCGTGCATAAATCAATAACATTATTCAAAGAGCTAATAATAATCTTGAAATGTATTCGACTATTAATGCTTTTCTTGTTTGAAAATTGTGATATCTGTGGAATTAAGACAGTTTAAGAAGCATATTACCTTTAATTTTGAATCGCGGACTCGTTCTTTTACATAAATGACTTCTTGGACTTCGTTCTGTGGACGGTCCGAATTTTTCCCGAAGATTACTAGATTGTCTTTTGTGAGTGGTGGCAGAACCACAAAAGTGTCACAGGATCTTGGTGAACCCATCATGGCACTAAATATATTAATAAACTGTGCCCTCGATGCTAACGTTGTTTATAATTGATTTTTCACAAGGCCTCGACTATCTTTGTTATCAAAATGTCCAACTGAAAATGTCAATTGTCAATTTTGTTCTACAGCCGCTGACATCAAATGTCAATAATGTCAAAATTATTTCAAATCACTGACCTGTATAGATGGATAGGTTAAAATCGATTTTGTGACTATTTGATTTTCGCTATTTTGGCGCTGTTAGTTGCAGTTGTTTTTGAACTAATAACACTAAATCGCCTTTTACATCACAATACACTATGGAAGTAATAATAACTACACTAAACTTTCGTAATTCTTATTACTCCTATTCAAAACAAGCGATTACGACGGAACGAAGCAAAAGTGGTAATTTCTACCTATCTATTTACATATATCTATGATTCGGTAGTATTTCAGTATTATTTGGGAAATATTTTATTTTTGCGACATCCAATGTTTGATTCATTTACGATTTCTACTACAATTGTATAAAAATATTTCCATGAACTACGTTTTAATGTTGATTTTTTTATCAATACTTAATTAATTTATTTCAATATCATCATGTCATAATTTGATCATCTAAGAGTTAACCACTCGAACACTTTTCTATTTTGTTATAACATTTACACAAATATAATTATAACTTGCATACCCATCAAAAGGACTGTGACCTAAGAACTAGCCAAATATTTTTAAATATAGTTTTATCGCTCTGAAAGTTACCAGGAACAGGAAGGAACATCTCATCGATTTCTAATTTCGTCATGTGTCGATGTCACGACAGGATATTCAAGGGAGTGGTTAATGAGGCATCTGATAGTGGTAGTTAAAAATTATTTTATTTATATTATACAAGTTCCGTGCATCATACGAGTACCGCCGGCAAGTTATGTAATAGAAAATTTATCAGAACCATGGTACAACTGGAATTGTTGTTGTTTCAATTAAATCGGTCACTGGTTCTCCATGGATCGGCAAGTCGTCTCTAAAAGAAGTACATTTGTGGCCAAGACACTGAAAGAAAACAAAAGGCCGATTAAGAAGGCCTATTAATTATTTTTTTGATTCTAATACGTTGTCCAGTTACTAAATTAATAACTAATAAGTCGTTTTGGAGTTATCTAGGCACCCCAGAATTTTAACATTATGTACTCGTAGATATATATTTTATAATTTTCAACTCTGTAGATGGTCAACTGAGCTGGCGACTCCGATGCCACTATCATTAATTTAAAAATGATTACTTTATTCGGGGTCTGTCCCACCACTGGCTGATAGAGGCTCAGATAGATTAATAATGACGTCACTGATAAGGGAACAAAATCCGATATTTCCTTCACATGTTTTAGACGTTGGATTGTTATCAGACAATTTACAATTTGATGGAACAGGTACTTAGTATGACAGGACCGAGCCAAATAAAAGTCCGTGGTCCCGGCTTATTCTAGTTAAAGTGACTGTAAATACGTACTGTTGCAGTGCAGTTGCGCCCTTTACACTGAAAAATAACTTCTTTAATACTAGGCAACAGAGCGTGGGTCAACCAAAGGTTACTTAGGAAAATCATTTATAAAAGTCTAATAATCATATAAATACTCACGTATGCAATACAATTGTTTGAGTGACACTAAAATAATATAACGCTATTTTACTTATGATAATCAGTAAGGGATACACATGTAAATTGAAACATTTTACTTTGACGTAATCTGTAGTAATGCATCTATATTTAAACATAAAAGTGGTAGACGCCAGCAATAAAATCTTTTGTACGAATTGGCCGGATTGATGCAATACCACAATAGAAGACAGGCGTGAAATGGTAGGAATTTCGTCTGATGTAGGGTACCGGAGTTATAATTTTAGTCCCATTTTCCTTATACGGAAAGGATTCTTAGAAAGGAAGTCGATTTGACGGAGGGCGCACAATAGAAGGAGAAATGCCCTCTTTCTGTGCGTCTCATTCTACGTCAATTAACAGTCGACAACGCATCAGCAATTGCGAATTGCGGATGTCTATGGTCAAAAGTTGCTCCGCTATTTCGACGAATTCAGACGGTCACTTGCTTGCTTGTCACATTATGATATATAGAAAAAAAAACTAAATGGAGTGGTAGTTAATATCTGGCGATTAATAGAAATGAAACTATACGAAGCTTTTATAACCTACACTTCACGCATTAATAATATATGAGTGAATTTGCCTCTTAAAGAACAACCTTCTAAAATAAAGGTTTACCGTTGAAATGCATTCTGGTCCTCGACACTGGAAGTATTGTCATATGTTAGGTAAAATCTTTGAGTATAGCAGCAGATTTACCGGAAATCAATTTAGATCTAATCTGGCATATTGTAAATGTACTTACTAATGTTTCACAGCCTTCTCCCGTGCACTACGAATAAATCATACTTTATACAACAGTATATTATGAATAAAGTGAACAAAGTCCTTGGATTCACCACGCCAGGGGGAGAACGACGGGGCGGCGTAAAGCCGCCCAATAAAAAAAAACAGTATATTATGTACTTGTGCCAAAGATGTTAGGTCTAGGGGACACGGTTGAAGATGACGATATACTGCCAAAGTCTACCTTTCAAACTAACAGTTTGTGATAAATATATAACAGCGCAAACTGAATCTGTTTTTAAACGATTAAAGTTACTATCAAATAACAATTTTGAGTGCTGGCGACATTTGAAACTGTTTCGACTTTTTGAACGGGCAACCCCGAATGGCTTAGATGTCATGGCGGCGATCAAATGACATATAGCGGTTGACATTAAATAAGCAAGTGATGAGCTTTGGTTGTGTGCACGGATAGAGTATTGGTTAATCTATGAACATATTTGCAATCCAGTTAGATAATGTTGTGCATATTTTACTGAAGATTAAAGAACTGTGTAACTGAAATTACGCGATTGTTATTTCGTTATTTCCGATATACGCATGCCTATATTGGAAAATCAAAGTGTGTTTGTGATTTATTTATTAGTTATGTCTAGATAGTTGACTTGTATACTTACATTTGATACGCATTTACGACCATAACACTGTAAATAAATCCAAGCGCTTACAATACCCACGAAAAATAAATAACTTTGGAAAAAAGGAATGTATGTGAGAAGAGAAAAAGGGACTTATAGGAGACTAGCTGTTGCCCGCGACCTAGTCTGTGTGGAGTTTAAAAGTTCAAAACTTACGTTTGCCCCTTTTCTCGACCTTTACAGGATAAATTTTAATGAAGCCTAAAACACCTACACCTTTCTTAGTAGGTATTTACTTAGTCTACGTAGTAACAGAAATATCTATGTAAGATTTCAATTTTTTAAGCCCAATAGTTTGAGAACAGATTTTTTTAGTTAAGCTTACGATATCTTCCAATAAACTATTCGTCCAATTTTTATACTGTTAAGCCAATTTTAATGTACATTCAATTCTCCTGACAACAAATAAATTGATGAAAACTCATTCTTACAGCATTTCTGCATATTTGTCCAAAGCACTGTTAAACGGTTAAATATATTAACATTGATTAAAAGCATAGATACCCATACATATTGTATCGAGTTTGAATTACATATTTTAAATTATTTACCGACGAAGTACAAGGTTCCTCACCATCGCACTGAAAAAAAATGACATTACTATCCGAATTGAAAGATAATATATCCCCGTGATAGCGACCGCGCGAAATTAAAAAATACCTTAGTAACTAGCCTATGTTTTCTTCCAGGGTATGTTCTACATCTATGCCGAATTTCTACGTGATCCCGGTAAGCCGTTTTGGAGATACGGATTAGCAAACATCCGTCCATCCAAACTTTCGTATTTCGCATAATATTCAGTATGAAATATAATGTTCTACATCAATATGAATTACGAAGATAGGATAATCTATTATCCAGTTTGAACACAATTTTTAATCCAGATAATTTTAATAAGATAAATATTATTCTTACCCCCGACTTACAAAATATTCCAAAACACTGAAAATTAACAAAAAATTATTGTATAAAATCTAGTCTACTTCCTATTTGGACTATATCATAAAACGCAATATACAAGAATTTAGCTATAATATTCTATCGAAGAAGCAAAGCGATACATTTATTTTTAGTTTCGGATCAATACTGCAGGGCGTAGCTGCTAACAAGAGTGGGTTGCCTTCGTTTTTCGTGTCTATGAAAGATTTACCTGACACAGAAATTCAACGAGTTTAAGACAATACCTGTGATACAGAAACATGACCAGATGACTGTAAAAATAATAAAAATAAAGCAAAAATTTAGTATGCCTTGATTAAAAATTAAAATTTGAGTTTTTAAAAATTTCTTTTATAACCTTCAGTTATCATTCACTTACAGTATAATTAACTGTCTTCCTATCCAAAACTAAAAGATAACACGTTCTATCTAGGATTGAGTCACCATAATTAGTTTTGGTGTAAATTTAGTATTTTTTTTTCTTTTATAATATATTCAAACTTACCCATGCTACAGCTTCAAAACCCGATGCCTTCAATAATTTACAATATGTAGTAATTTTGGCTGGTAATTTGCTATCGTAATAATGGAGTGAAAATATAATTTTTGTTCTACTCACTTTAGTGCGAATATTATTTCCAGTGCACTGTCGATCATAATTTAAAGTTAGTCCTACACATACCAGCCAAAGGTAGTAGGAATCGAAGCTCTACTTCACACAGCATGGCTTATAATGTAGTTAGTATCGTAATGCGGACCGCAGTTTATATGGCGGTTCTCACACGCACTCCTAGTAAAGTATAGTGTACAATCTCGGCTGTGTGTCAAATCATACTCATATTATAAATGTGAAAGTTTAGATAGATGTTTGTTAGTTTGTAGCCTAAACTGCTGAACGGATCTTAATGAAATTTGGCATAGATGCAGAGGATAGTCTGAAAGAACATATAGTCTACTTGGTTTTGTTTTTTTTATACTATGCGGACGGAACCGCGGGCGAAAACTAATTCATTATAGAATTTTTAAAAAAGAAACCATAAATTACATTAATACCTTACATTAGCCACACAAGCACTTCCGGTGCACTGAAATTACGGTTATAGTTTTTATAAACGGCCTACAATTTGAACATAGAACTTTTATAAAAAATATTTCTAACCTCAGCAAAGCAGTCCTCTTTAACATCCTGCCCATGTAAGCATAAAATATAAATTCAATATAAAATGCTATATTCAATATACAAAGTGCCACGGTGGTATTTGGAGTGTCAGCAAAACTGTAGTTCCTTTTTGTATTTTTAATTTTAAATGCTGTTCGATTGTACAATAAAAACCGAATTTATACCAATCGAGTTTTTGACTTCATCTAAATAATCTAATAGACTTGAAAATTAGCTTTACAACAGCTAACGATAGCATTGACATAAAGACTAATTACCTCTGTTAGTAGATATTTCTGGAAACAAAATGCAATATTATTAAAAAATGGAATATGCATAAAAGTAGATTCAGAGTAAAACTTCAAAATTTACCATTGTAATCATGGCAATAAATAAAGTAGTCAGTACATATTGGTTTGCGTACATTATGAGGACTGCATTAACCAAGATAATGATATTTTTCATGCATTGTTGATAATTAGTTACAGCCAAAATGAATTGTCATGCGTATCTTCAGTTTAGTTCGTTATTCAGTAAAACCACGCTGTACAAAAAAACCTTATAAAGATTTTAACCTAATTTAAAATCAATTGTTTTGACAAACTTGCAGACGATAGTATAGATAGGTATAAAGACATAAAAACAACTTTTTGCGAAGAAATTTTATTTTATGAACTATGTAAGTATGTTACCTTTACAAGATAATAAGTGTTGATTAATATAAGTTTATACAATATATAACATTAACATTCCTTTGAATTTCTTAGATATAACGTAAAATTATTAACAAAGTAAATTATTAGTAATAATTAAAGTAAAATTATTACGAGAAAGACTCATTTAAACAAGAAAAAAATGCCAACGAACTAATATTAACATTGCTTTGAAGTCAATTAAAGTATAATAATAATAATATCACAAGAAAGACTTAAACTAGAAAAAAGGCCCACTTTCTAATATTAACATTTCATTGAAGTTCATTAAATTACAATGATTCTACCGCGAGAAAGACTCGCTTTAAAAAGAAAAAAGGCCCACTGTCTAATATTAACATTTCATTGAAGTTCATTAAATTACAATGATTCTACCGCGAGAAA